GCCCTCGCAACGGGAAAACGCTACCCAACTGTTTAATGCAACCAGTAAATTGCTTAATAAGAAGATTGTAAAACATTTATTAAGTGCTTCCTGTCAAATCAATAATTCATTTTTTTCAGGGTTCTGTATTACATTGCATGTTTTAAGCTTTAAGGTCACCCTTTAATGTTTTGGGTGAATCTGTAAAAAGTATTTTAATAATTGGATTTAACGACACTACGGTTGTATATTATGGTATTTAGCTTTATATTACTTGATTTTTTATTTTTTGTAATTACATTGATGTTTTCTATTTTTTATTTTTTTATTAAAGAGCAATGTCAAAATTGACAAATTAATTGTTAGTTAAATGATTAGCTATAATTTCTATAATGTACACAGATTAGGCATGTGACATTTTAATAGATATGCAAATAGTGGTAACATTTAGAATGGCAGGCTGCAGTACAAAACTTGCAGTACATGCAATTAGGTGATATAGCTAACATGATTTTAATGTTAACTATTTCTGAAAATTTAGTAAAATACTTACGTATTTGTATAGTAATACATTAATTTGATTTATATTTTTTTAAATAATACTTTCTCGATGAACAGCTATATACTTTAGTAGATTAATCCTAATAATAATAATCTATAAATATAAGCATATTATTATATTATAAGCAAGCAGCATTAATAATATTTAAGTTTGGAATTAAAATTCACACTTTGTTGTAGTTTTCTCTCTTTTTTTTTTTTTATATATAGAACACGCCATCACTACGACCGGCAGACAATAACAACATAATTAGCATTTTTTTATAGCTGTTGTGAAGGTTTCTTGATTGTATTTTCCCGTTATTCTCCCATTTAAACTTAGTCATACCAGAAATTAACAAGATAAATGTAAAGACAGATATCATATATGATTTCAACAGACGGAACACGTAAAAGAAAAAGCTGTAAATTCCTACTAGAAACATGGAATCTTCACTGTAAAAGATCTCACATATATTTTATGTAGGATCATAACAATATCAAATTATTTAACCAGGACTGATAGACTTGGCTTTTAGCGTTAACTAATTTTTAAGAATACATGGATGCTCTTGGTGCCTCCTGTCTTAAAGACCATTATTATTATTACTGGTATTTCTGTAGCGCCAACAAATTCTGCTGTGTTGTCCGATTGGCAAAAAAGACAATACAATACAATACGCACAATAGGTGAAGAAGGTCCTGCTCATAAACTGAGATCTAGAAATAAAAGCTCCTTTTATACAAAGTACTTCTTGAGACAAGAGGTAACAATAGGGAATTTGAAGATGATGGCCAGAGAGAATTAAGGATATTTGTAGCTGCTGGTAAGATATAAAGGGAATGAAGAGGTAATCGAGTGAGCTTTCAAGCAGCTGGAGAAGCATGGTGTAAAGAAGGGTGGGGTGTGTAGTGGTCAGTGAAAAGGTTTCTCTTTTTTATTTTTCCTGTCAATTAATGGTGGACAAGAACTGCCATTGTTTGTGCCGGCCCTGAATACATATACATGTGCTATATTTTTATTGTTATGTTTTATACATGGTTTGGCACACAGTCTGTCAATCTGATATCCTTTGTCTACATTAATTGGGCAGACTAGATGGGCCGAATGGTTCTTATCTGCCATCACATTCTATGTTTCTATGTTACATAATCATGCAGTAAAACATTGTGGTTCCACACAATGTAGCAGTCCTTCTCTATTTCCAAACCAATTGGAGCAGATGTTCTGTACCTACATTGTATGGGACCTGTATTATATAACCTCACAGTCTCACCACTATGATGTATCCATAACATGAAGCCCAAAATGATGTCTAACCCTAATCTGGAACCTTTATTCTATGTCCAAACAGTCTGGCACCTATAATATGTATCCAAGTAATATGGCTTTTCTTTTTATGGTCACATTTTAACACCCTTATTCTGTATATTAATTGTCTGACAAGCTGAACTGGACATCACAAGTTACCTGAACCTGGTGGGACTTACCTTCCCAGACTGTAATCATTAAGTTTCTATTTAATCTATAACTTGATCTAGTAGGTGAAGTGCTGTGTAGAATGAGACACAATGTCTCCTTCTCAGCTGACTATGTCGCTAGTAATAAAAGAAAAAAATATTATTGCAGCAATGTGATACGACTTCAAAAATAATGTAAAACAAAAAATGCAAAATGGTAATGCATGTGACAGGGGAACATTTTTGCATTTTTGGGTTCTTGTGATGTCCATAAAACATTACAGAGCACTTTAAAACATGATTTACCTATACTTCATCATTATGTATTCCTTTAAGTTCAATAGGCAGGTAGTTTAGAATGCCATACTGTATGGGTGGTGGCATCACCTTCCCCATAATGCCATTTTACCAACGGCAATTGAAATAGCTCCCATCTTAGAATGTAAAATTGATATATGTATGTTCCAGGGCTGTGTTTCAATGTTAAGCTCATTTTATATGATTGCTAAATACCATTTTATTTCTGTTCGAGACATTAGATGGCATCTTCCTTCTAGCTGCTCCAGGCAAAAATTACACGTTGGATAGAGTCCAGTTAGAAATGAAAAATGTGGCTAAATGGTTGTTTGCAAAAACATTGGTCATCACTATATAAAAATACACCTTGGTTATATACATCAGTATTTGGAACGTATACTGTGTATGGTATAATAGCAGATACTTGGGACTATTTAGTACTATGTTATGTTTTCTCCATAAGATACATGCTATAAAACACTTCCCCTATTTTCAGTAAACAAGAGCCTTTGACATATAAGAACTGTAAAAAATGGAATAAACCTCAGTAAACAGACATTTCTTTTATACGCTTGCAATAAAAACTATTAGAAAAGTAAGGCTATTTGCATAGGTGCATAGGTAATGAAGCAACATAATTGAGTTTACAGAGAATGGAAATAGGTCTAGTTATCTAAGCAATATTTATAATTTTTTTACCTGCGTGTGTGCACCACAATTCTCCCAGAATTCATTGCTGGATATGCAAATGAGCACAGGCAAGCATCATGTTTCAGAATTCATCCTGCATTTCTACATACTTAGCAATGGAGCTCTGTTTAAGTACATACTTTTAAAGCAAAGTGTGGGTTGTGATCCAAAAGGACCAAACACTTAAACTAACCATGGGCTGTACAATTTTTGCCAGTGTCTGTCTGATGTCTTTCTGGTAGCTTATAGCTAAACATTAAAGAAAATTGTATGGGCACCAAATCATGATAAAACTACCTGCTAAATTATACAAGTTTTAAAATGCACTGCTCTTTATATAAGACCTTGGGGAAATTAGTCTTGAGATACTCTATTTCCACATTATTTTGGATCACAATCATTTTTCCTTTTAGATCACTACCCATGCTTGGCTTAAAAATCTATGTTTAATGTTGCAGCAAATCTTCATTGCCCAGAGCCCACCTGTCTCTGAGCCCACCTGTCTTTTTTGCTTTGCAAAAGATCAAATCTTTTGATCTCAGCCAATCAACATTTTGCCAATATAAAATGTTTACACATAATCATTCCATATGGAGCACCTGGCATAAGGGAAATAATATGAATCCAACAAACCATACCAGTTCTTATATCTAAATACAAAATGTATTTTTCAGTTACCAACATTGATGCTAAAATTATGATTTCTACATACAAGTATTTGCAATCACTATGGGGAAGGTCCTGGTACCAGTCTATTCTATTTATTACATGTAGATGTTCAAACACACAGCTATTCTTCCAGGGAACTCTATGAAAATTTACCACATGCTTCATTTTTGGATGTTAGATTGCCTTTTAAGTACTACTATGGCAAGGTTTATATTTTTTTGACATTATAGTAATAGTATAAGTATAGATCATAGAGAGAGCTATAAGCCATGGTAGTTGTGATCAAAATTGTGCCTACCCATTCTACTCATATTAACATTGTGAAGGAATGCACCATCACTTGTTTCGGTAATATTCGTTTTTTTCCCCCGTTCATTTGCTCATTCGAACGCACCTGGTTCGTTTCCCAACGAGGACCTCCCCAAGATCTCATTAGAACGTGGAATACAAAGTATCCAGTGCAAAACCACAATGGAACCCCACTGGGTGGCCAGGCAACCGAATGCATGTGGTCAACGGAATGGATGGTGGATTCAAAATGGATTTTGTCTCCCGAACGTAGGCACTGGTACCTGATTGTTAAGTTATTGGAACTTATTTTGGCTCTGCACTCCTGCAAACACCAGTGAAGATGGAACTGCTGCCGTTAGAGTTCCCGACCACCTATACGAATGGCATTCGGTAGATATAAACTACCGACTGGGGAGAACATTCAACACTTGAAAGAATTCGGATATTTTGTGAGGTTTTCGTATAAAAATCCTCGAACTGAGGCCGGTCGTTGCCACGATCCCTCTGGAACTATTTTGGGCTTCTACCTTGTGACCAGCTGGTCAAAACTTTACATCGATGGCAATTCCAAACCAACAAACTGATCAGAGTGCTTTTTGGATATGTTAAGCACTCAGATCAGGGCTACCCAAGGATGTGACTCTTGTGACAAGACCAATCTTGCCACTGTGCATTGGAGGAGCCTGGTTGCCCGCCTGCTGCCTTTAGACTATGGCCCCATGTTGAAACGCTTGATTTTCCCCTGCAAAGACACAAAAACTGGGTCATTCGGTACTTGCCCTATTTGAACAGTGATACCCCAGATAGCTATGCTATGGAGCCCATTCGTATAACGAAAGACTATGTGAAAGACTTTGGCTCCATGGCAATTGAACTGTATGTATGTGATCTGAGCGCCATTCAGTAATAATGTGCACTCAGATGTAAGCTATCTGGGGATATTTTTAATGTACCTGTTTTATGCAATAGCTGCACAGTTATATATTTTTATGTATTTTATTGTCTTTTGCTACCATGTGTTCAATGAAGTTTTGCCTCTGTCCTTGGAGATAATTGGATTACTTCCCAATTATCTCCAGGATAGAAGTCTCTGTGGAACTGGTTTTGGGCAGAAAAGCCATGCTTCATTTGATCACAAAGGACTACGATCTATCTTTTGAACCACTGGACCAATTTGTATGATTTTGACGTATGTTTGTATTTGGAGTATGCTGATTCTGAAAATGTAAGTATGTGAATGTGATGTATACTTTTAAAGTTATGAATAATGTAATGGAAAAACTGTATTTCTCTGCCTGTGATAATTACATTAACCCATTGTGTAAGGTAATTGCATCACAGGCAGAGGGGATGATTTTGTGTGGGAGTGTCTGAGTGTATTGTACATGTTTATTGGTTGTTTTACAAAACCCTGTCGGTGGTACTAATGTGTAAGAATGTGTATATAAGAACAATAAACCCACAGCTCTGTCTGTTCCTGCTTGACCCCAAAATGGAGCCTTGTCTCGTTCTTGGGGGGATTTATTGTATGCTGCTACAGTTTGACTGCTAGGAGTGTAAACCTATTCGTATGGTTTTTCCTATTCGGCTGTTTACAGCATTCATATGGTTCTTGTACGGCTGTTTACGGCATTCATATGGTTTCCTGTTCGCAGATTGGTGTCTTTGGTAGCTGCCTGTGTATCTGGAAGGGGAATATCCTCTAAATGGCGTTTAACCCCTTTTATGCCTGGGGTGCCGTTACAACTCTCAAGGGGTTTCCATGTATTTTAAAGGGTACTTTTGGGGTATTGTAAAAATTGTCATATTTTTCTGTACCTGGGAAATAATTAAGTTTTAAGTTTCCTGACTCAATTATCTTAGGCACAGAAAGGAGTTTACTGTATGTATAAATTGAAAGTGCTTGCCTGAATAAAACAGATCTACTCTCAGCATGCAGTCTTGACTAATGTTTTTGCAGAAAGCTATACCAGTGTATTCACCTTCACTACTGGATAGAATTATTTCACATTGGGAAAGGGAATCAGTGGCGGCGATATTCTGTCGGTGCGCCACAAACATTTAGTAAAAAGAACATATATTTCCTAGACTTATGAGAATCCAGTCTAGGATATACGCTGTACAAAAAAGAGACATGTAGCAATACTCTGCTTGATGCTAAACGTTTTCAGCCTTTGAAAAAAGAATTACCAGTCTCTCAGTTCCTGGGTGTTTACAATTTGAGTAACATCAGTTGTGAAACTCAATTACAGTATGTACTTGCTGCTTATTACAAGCTAGAGTGCATTTCTCGTAGTAGGGTTGGCAACTAGACCAAAATTTCAAACTCTGAAACTGAATATGGTTGAATCATAAAACAAACTAAATGTCAAGGTACTAACCCAACATGCAAGCTAGAGACTATAAATAAAAAGCTAATATATTTATTATCAGACATTAGGGTGGCCGGGCTTAACGCAAGTAGGAAAGAATATAGTCCTAATATTAAAATAAGGATAACTGGAGTCAGGTCAATTTCAAGGATAGGAGAAGGTAGAATTAATGAGTACATGAGTAATTAATGAGTACACAAAGCCAAAGTCAGGGATTCCAGGGGTAAGAATAGTCAAAATAACAGAGCCAAGTAAAGAGAGAAAGACACACTAACTTTTATAATGCACTCTCAGGCTACTAAGACCACAACAGGGTAAGGAAAGGGTACAGTTTAATTAGACATGAGTGTGTGGTGGAACAATTAGGATAATTAATAATTAATATAAATATAATGTTTTAGAAGCATGTAGGATATTCACATTCAGTATAGTCTAACCAAAATAACTAAATAGCAGTTTTTGGGTGGTAGGTACCAATTTAAAGCACCTACCAGCTTCTTGTTTTTTGTTTTTCTCATTTTTTGATTTTCAGGTTCCCTTGGCCCACTAAAAGTATTAGAGTAATATCAACCACACCTGGAATTAATAGTGCAGTGAAAAACACTTATCTCAACTAGTGATGTCCCGAACGGTTCGCCGAACGGTTCGCCACGAACGGTTCGCCACGAACGGTTCGCCACGGACTCATCATTGAATAAACTTTGACCCCGTACCTCACAGTCAGCAGACACATTCCAGCCAATCAGCAGCAGACCCTCCCTCCTGGACCCTCCCACCTCCTGGACAGCATCCATTTTACATTCATTGTGAAGCTGCATTCTTAGTGAGCTGTCCAGGAGGTGGGAGGGTCTGGGAGGGAGGGTCTGCTGCTGATTGGCTGGAATGGGTCTGCTGACTGTGAGGTACAGGGTCAAAGTTTACTCAATAATGAGTCCGTGGCGAACCGTTCGTGGCGAACCGTTTGGGACATCACTAATCTCAACAGATAGTGGTGACAGCTTCCCCTGGGGATATCCCTTAAAACACAATATAGATGCAACAAAAAATATGGAGGATACAGCTGTCAATCTACAAAAAGAAAACATGTATGATAGTGTAACACTGTATAAAAGATATTAGAATGCTCTGTTAGGTTAAACACTGTATAAAATATACAGCTAATAGTTGCTAATAGTTGCTGGATACAAGTGTTTACAACATTTGGCTAATTCTATGTATTTCTTTATTGTTATGTCTATCTCTTGAAATAAGAAAAGTTTCCCTTGTCTTATATCACCTTTCACCTATTTCTTTTTTTTTTTTCTTTAAAGTTTCTTCATATTTTATTTAGCTCACACCAAAAAAAATGCTCATCACACTCTTTACCTTCACTTGTCTGAATCGAGCATTGCACATTTTATTTTTCTGCCTTATTCACAGGTTTAGTCAATTTGAACTCACAATGGTTTTACACCCAACCTGCACATATTTACATCACATCATACATCTATCACTTATTTATTCACATGACAGGCGCACAGTCAGATTTGCCGGCATATGCGCTAACCTTACCCAAACCCCCATTAAAACACGGACACAGGTTATACTGTTGGAAATAATTAGTCCACAGCATTTTAAAAATTATTAATAAAATAATTAAGGAATAACAAATGGGGTCATTACTCATTTTTTATTTTCGTCTTTTGTTTATGTTTATTACAACCCCAGTTTCTGAATTTTTCTTCTCACATTTTTGTGTATTTTTGTCTTTTGAACTCTGTCTTAAGTGTCTGCAAAACAGCAAATAAACAACACTGTGTTGTAGTAGGAGAAAATAAAATATAACAACCTTAGTTGGTATATATAGTCGAGGAGCTGATCCACCTAAAATGGCTTTACAAATAAACTCCAATGTTGTCTGAAAGGAGCTAGAAGAAATAAATGTAATAATAATATATGGTGTATACACCTTTAAATCTGCTATAGGCAGAGTAAATGGAGTAAGCACCAGATGCTATACTTTACATGTACCAACTCCAAAGTATTTGAGAAACAATATATGAGACTGTTCTCTTTGGAGATAAAAGATGAATTAGATCACATAAAATATTACGTACAATAATGTTATGTGTGGTGTCTGTGCCTTTAAGTCTATTATAGAATAGACAGAATAGGGCATTCACCCAAAAATGCTGTACCTTTTGAGAAAAGATATAAACCTTAAAATAGGAGTACAGTATAGAAAACTGCTCCTATAATGCAATACTGATATCGCTTAAAAGTAACCACGTGAAAGAAAAAAGAGGGTTAAAATGAATAGATCGAATTTATTAAATAAATGAATGATAAAAAGTAATAATAATAACTGATAAAATATAAAAATATAAGTCAGGAACGAAAGGTAAGAATGTTACCAGCACAATTGTAGACCTTGTTAGTAAATTGTATCTGGGGACGGCCAGGATGGATGTAGATACTATGTGTCACCAATAGTTCTTACTGGCTGTCGGCTTACAGTGAGGTTGGCGTGCGTCTCAGACCTCACTCTGAGAACTGCACGCTGCAGCCCGATCAGTCCCCGACTCGTGAGAGCTTCCTTCAGTGCGTCCAAGGTCCTACTGCCGGATCAGCTTCTGCCACCGTATCCTGCTTGCAAATCTGACGCGTTTCGTGGGTGTCCGCCCCACTTCTTCAGAGATAGAATGTTACTTCGTAGTTGGGCGATGGTTTAAATACATGTCTAATTGGTTGATCTTAATTATGCATATCAGTACATACCGTGGTTTAATACAATTAAATACTTAAAAGGATATATTGCACATAAAATAAGAATAATGTAAGAATAATATATTGCACATGAGAATTAGTATATTGCACAAAAAATAATAATAATAAAATGGAAAATAAAAGTCAAAAATGGAGATAATATATTGCACATGAAAATGAAAAAACAAAGGATGATTGAGGATACAAATGTAAAAAAACGAAAAACGAAAAATAGGAGATCAATTACAATTGATTATACATCCAATTGGTCAATAGATTTAAGAGAATAATATTACAATAAGGAGGCAAACTCTTAAAATATATTACATTAAAAAATATATATTATTAGAAATGGATGTATATATTAGCATATAGTAACAGAATCTAAAATGGAAGTAGTCAGACAGTGATTATTATGTCTCATGATATATATTTTAGTACTATTGATAAAACAATACAGTGATGCATTCATCTAGGTGTATAATGTTATGAGGTGGTTATCTTAGTATTACAGGTCTCAATAATTACCTATAAAAAGCCTTTAAGTGGTGAAAGAATAAAATAGAAGAAGAAAATCGAAGAAAGAGAAGGGTGAAAGACAGTATATACAGATATAGTCAGTATTATTAGTGTCTCTATATTAGAATATATGGTGTCAATTTGGGTGAACAATTGACTAAAATGTGTAAGAAAAATACTTGAGTGTAGAGTCTGTGTGTATGGGATATGAAAATATATAAGTACCCATAGTTGATATAATTGCATTAATCAAATAGAATGTAATAGATCTTAATGGAAAAAATTAATTAAAAAAATTTATTAAAAAAAAAAAAAAAAAAAACTTGGAACAGTCTGTGTATGCACTTCATAGTGTTCTATAAGAAGGCATTGAGTTCAAAGTCAACATTGAGACCCTTAGGGACCAGAGTCTCTAAGTGAAAAATCCATTTTGCTTCAGCCTGATCCAGATTTCTTTCCAGGTCTCCCCCTCTCCAGTGAACATTCACCTTTTCAATAGGTAAAAATATCAATCCCTTGGGATCTCCTCCATGGTGCTCCTGATAGTGTTTAGAGAGATTGTGTGTTAGTAGTCCTCTTTTTATATTTCGGATATGTTCCGCTATTCTGATTTTCAAAGATCTCTTGGTTCGACCCACATACTGTTTCGAACAGGG